GTGTTTGTGTTTGTGTGTATAAATGTATGTTTGTGTGTTTGTGTGTATAAATGTATGTGTGTGTGTTTGTGTTTGTGTGTGTGTGTGTGTGTGTGTGTTTGGGTGTGTGTGTGTGTGTGTATGTGTGTGTTTGTGTGTGTGTGTTTGTGTGTGTTTCCCCCTCTGTCTCTAAACGGGTATTGGAAAGTTTTATTTAAAAAGAAAGCGAAACTGAAAAGACAGGAAGGGACAAGGAGAGATAAAAAAGAGAATCAGAGAGAGAGAAAGAGAAACAAAGAAAAAATAGATGAAAGAAAAAACGAAAGAAAAAAGAAGAAGAAGAAGAAGAAGAAAAAGAAGAAGAAGAAGAAGAAGAAGAAGAAGAAGAAGAAGAAGAAGAAGAAGAAGAAGAAGGAAGGAGAGAAAGAAAAAAAGAAAGAAAGAAAGAAAGAAATAACAAAAACTAGAAGAAGAAGTACAAGAACAAGAACAACAAAAAGAACAGAAAGAAGAAGAAAAGGAAGAAGAAAGAAAGATAGAAAGAAAATAAAAAGAACAAAAACTAGAACAAGAAGAAGAAAGAAGAAAGTAGAGAGCGAGGCGGGACCCCTCCACCTAAAGCCTCGATGACAGTGCTGAGGGTGAGTACACACTCCGGCCACTTGAAGCCCTCGAGCCCTCGCAGAGAGCGGTGATGTATTCCTCGCCTCATCCTGACCTGCTCAAGGAGAGAAGGAAAAGACAACTCACGCGCCCAATCGTCAAAGAGGCCCAGTGTTTGTTCGTCTATCTTACCTGGAAGGTGTGATGATCCTCCACCTATCATCATCCGGCTGAGATGATCGTGAAGCTATTTTTTTTTCTTTACTGTTTTTTCGGTCTATCTTTCTTAAGTGGTAGATCTATATCTTTAAAACATGTTTTCTGTATCTTTCTTAAGTAGTAGATCTGTATCTTTGAAACATGTTTTCTGTATCTTTCTTAAGTAGTAGATCTGTATCTTTAAAACATGTTTTCTCTATCTTTCTTAAGGGGTAGATCTGTATCTTTAAAACATGTTTTCTCTATCTTTCTTAAGGGGTAGATCTCTATTTTTAAAACATGTCGTTTTCTCTACCTTTCTTAAGGGGTATACATTTTTAACTTTGTTTTTTTTCTATTTTTCTGAATTGGTATAACTCTAGAACCATTTATTTCCTCTATCTTTCTTATGAAGTGGTATAATTTGTTTCTATCAGTTTTAAAATCTATATTTCTTAAAAGAGATATACGTTTTTATCCATTTTTTTTCCCTGTATCTTTCTGAAGTGGTATAACTTTAAAACCATTTCTTACATCTATGTTTCTTAAAAGGGATATATAAGTTTAGTTTGAAACCATTTTTTTCCGGCATCTCGCTGAATGGGTATCACTTCTTAACGACTTTTATATATATCTGTCTCAAAGTGCAAAACATCTCTTTTTTTTAACGGGTTCCCTAGATCGTGAGGATGAATTTCATTCATGAGCATTACGCAGGTGTTTAGC